CTCAGGGGGTAAAATGGAACTGCCTGAGGGTAAAGCTGAAGATGGAGCTGAAGGTGGAGGCTGTTGCCATCTCTGAATAAAAGATAACCATATTCCCACCGTGCCTTGGATCTTCTTTCAACTGCCAAATCCTCAACCTTGCTTCCTAGAACTGAGCCTCACCCTCTGTCTGACAATTGTACACAAGTCAAATATTACAAAAGGGCAGAGCATGTGAAATACTTTCTCCCTCCCACCCCTATTCCTATTTCTTAGGGTTTGCTACTGACCTTCTAGAAACAACTTCACAGTTAATGTTTAATTATAGAAGCCCTACTCAGTTTTTAATGTACCTATTCTCTCTTCTCTCTCTGTTGTTTTAAATTTGTTTTGTGTACGTGTGGCTTTGGGGATTTGCTAAGCATGTGCTGTACCACCGAGCTACACCTTAGCCCCTAGAATTTTTGGTATCTTTATGTCTTCTGCTGTATACTACTGTGTCTTTATGCTGTTTCTATATGACTTTCCTTGCTCTTGGGCTGTTCCCCAAGACCTGTCTCCTGGGGAGCCACATTCGATCTTTAATTCCCAATTTTTAGTTTACAGAACATTTCAAAATCACCTGGGTAAAATCAATGCTCCACTCCGTTCATCCCTCTAACACTGCTCACACCATTTGGATGTTGTTAATCTTCTTGTATTAGTGCCTGTGATTCGCAAACTGGAGATGATGTGGTTGCGTTATTTGACTCTATACTTTGCTATTATTGAACCCGGGTCCAGCTTTAGCCCCCAGCCAGTTCCATTTTGTCCTCCGAGTCTTTTCCATAGGTTTTATATCTATATATACATATATACATGTAAAGATAAAATTTCTAAGCCGAGTTAAAGTGTAAAAGACTGGGCATTGTAAAGTTTCTAAATTGAAAGGCTTGGGCTAAAAAAAAATAATAGACCAGGTATTGTTAAAATTCCTCTGCTACCCCTGGAACCTGTAATCTCTGTAGCTGTTAGGACAATACCTGAACTGCCCAGTAAATATTTCCATTGATTCCCTGGTTGTTTATTAGCTAAGGGCTCCAAGTAGCTCGGCAHGTAAGCATCCAGGCYMCAAAACCAATCAGTTTAAATGTGTACCCCGCTTAGGAGTGACCAATCACCCCTGCCCAGACTGTTCCCACCAAGGAATGTACTAATCCTGTCTCAGAGTTGTTGTTCAATTTTCCCGCGCCTCATGATGATTTGTTCTGATGTATGCAAASCCCCCCCCCCCCCCGCCCTCTCCAAAAAGTGTACTTAAGCTCTGCTTGACCTCTGCTCTGGGCTCTGGGCTGCTCTATCTTCCTGAGTGAGCCTGGAGCCTCAGCATGCTGAATTAATAAATCCCCTTCTGCAATTGCATGAAGCCAGTCTCTTGTGTGGTCTCTCCCTCCGRCGCTCCGCCGGACCCTTACATACACACACAGACCAGACAGAAGGCACCAAAAAACTCATGTCAGAGAGAAGAATCTTAGGGAGAAATGCTTAATGCAGTGGTTGGAGGATGGAGAAGAGGGAGCACTGCTCACAAATCACCTTCTGAGGGTTACAGATGTAAGATAGGAACAATGAGGGAGAGAGTTAGGCTACTAAAGGGGAGGAAGAGTCATGTCTTTTTTGGGAATAGGTGGAAATCTTTCAGGAACTCTGGYACCACCTCTTTTTGTTCCTTTCCTGTTTTGGTGTTTCCAGTCATGGCTAGGGGTCTTTAGGAGAAGGGGTCTTGAACCTTGAATGGGGGAGGGAGAGAGGAGGGGACTGGGCAAGTCTAGGACAAGTTAACCATATATTATAATTTCGGACAAAACATTTATCAAATGATGGACATGTCTACATGCAGAACTCGGTAGAATSTGGCCCAAGGCAAAGCAACAAAGGAGATACACAATATGAAGACAGAGATGCCAAGTGTCTTAATCTTGTTCCAGTCTCTCATTGGATAGCTGCAGGCTCAAGTGAAAAGTCAGTGTTTTCAGCAAAAGTGGCCTTGAGTCCCTGTGGAGTAACCTGGACAATGGTTATCATCACTCACATGTCAGAGGTGTTACCTCCAGCAGAGCAAGGGGAAGACTAATCACGTTATCACCCAGCTGTGGGACCTCCAGAATCAGTGTTTGTCATGTTAAGTGAGAGGAAGTGAAGCTAAAGGGTTTATTTAGGGTTTTCCCCAGTTACAATCTCTCTGTTCTGCAGTTGCTTTCTCCTCAGGTGCGACTTGTCTTTTCTTATTATGGCGCCTTTCAATGAGGAGGAGTTCTTAAATTTAATGTACTTCAAGTTTAGAAAAGTTTTCTTTATACTTTGTGTTTATGACACTTATGAAAACTTCTGAGCTCATAAGGGCATTTGGCTTTATTTTCTTCATTTTAAAAGAACTTAATTTCTCATTTAGTGTCTTTAGTTCACCTGGAATGAGTTTTTGCATGTAGGATGAGTTAAGGCAGATAACTTGTTGATCAGCCTATATATGGAACTGTCTCTCTTGCCCCCACTGATCTGTAATCCAATCCTGTCAAATATTAAGATTCCAGTTGGGTGCAATGGCACATGCCTGTAATCCCAATGGCTCGGGAGGCTGAGTCAGGAGGATTGAAAGTTCAAAGCCAGCCTCAGCAAAGGAGAGGTGCTGAACAACTCAGGGAGACCCTGTCTCCAAATAAAAACAAAGTAAGGCTGGGGATGTGGCTCAGTGGTCAAGTGCACCTAAATTCAATTCCCAGTACCAAAACAAAAACAAAAACAACAAAAACATTCCATAGATACCTGAATCAGTTTCTGGGCTCATCAGTGTCAGGGGTGCCATGAACAGGAGCTGAGCAGTACCCTTAGCCTTGAGCAATGAACTGGCTTCCCCTTGCAGCATGAAAGCAGGTGAACCTCACCTTCCCTTGGCAAGGAATTATAGCTCTGAGAGTGGGTGTCACCCAATGGGACTGGGTTACACCCCTCTGAAATCCAAACCCTTTCCTCATTTGGGTGGAACTTTCTCGAATGTCTTTCCCCCAATTAATAGGGTTTCAGGCCTGCTCTCTCTCTCTTGCCTGCCTCTCTTGCCTCCCTTGTGGGAGCTGGGACAGAGGAGCTGACACTGAACCCCAAGAAAAAGGTACTTCCTGTGTGTGATTATTTAGTGCCAGCCCAATTCACCTGGAGGGATCCTGACTGATTTGGTCGCATGTTGTTACAGATGAGGCCGGGCCGGGGACGGGGACATTCCAACATGAATTTTAGAAATTTAGCGGGTTTGGTTTTCTCTCAAGTCGTTAAGCATGCTTAGGTTTTCAGAGTATCGTGGATTGGTTTATGAAAAGTAAGAGAATTAGAAGAAAGTGACTGACATTAAACTCATAACATGTAGGTAACTTTTTTGTCTTTAGAAAAATAAAAAAAATATTTTGCAATTCTGAAGACCATAATTAGGCATAGAGAATAGGAAATTAGAGAATTGGAGGTCCCACTAGAGATTATTGAGGTGATTGATAAAATATATGTTGCTAAATTCAGTCCTCTCCCATGGGAAAAGCAAGCTTTTGTGGATTTTTCTGGATTCTTTTGTGGATTTTTTGTATTTTGAAATATTAAGGTGAAGATTTTTTTTTGGATTTATGTGCTAGGAATCAGTGTTGGGAGAGTGAGAGGAAAAAGGAAAGATTTTTTTGTGGTGGGACTTGATTCCGGGGATTCTTTACTTCCAGAGAAGTGAATTTTATTTTTCTGCTGTTTTTTAAAAATACTGAGACAATTTGTATTGAGCCTCTTCATTGCATTCTTGTCCTGCCGSGATCAGGAGTGGTTGTAACCCAGCTGCTGCTCTGGGGCAGATGCAGGCCGGCTGGCACCAGCGTCTGCTGCTGGAGCCCGCTTTTGARTTGAAAGATTTCTGAGACACAGGCACTGAGAGAGAAGCCAGCTCCACACCCTCATTGCTCAAGGCGAAGGGTATGTGCTCAGCTCCTACAGTCTCAGCTCCTGTTCATGGAGGTTCCATTTTCTCCTTTGTCTAACCCTATGCCAATATCACAATTTTTAATAGCTTTATGGTGCATGGGGAACATGGAAGGGCAAGCATGTTATTCTTTTTCAAGAGTGTTGGCTGTGCTTTGCTCTGTATTTTTCCATATAAACTTTAAAATAGTTTCTAAAGGTGGGGGGGGGGAATCTTGTTGGAAATTTGGTTAGAATTACATTGAAATAGCTGGGCGTGATGGCTGTGGTGGCTCTTGCCTATAATCCCAGCCACTGGAGAAGGTTCAGGCAGGAGGACCGCAATCTGGAGGTCAGCCCAAAATAAAACAAATAAATAAATAATAAAAAAATGCTGGGCTTAGGCTAGGGTTGTGGCTCAGAGGTAGAATGCTTGACTAGCATGCGTGASGCACACTGGGTTGGTTCCATCCTCAGCACCACATAAGAATAAAATAAAAAATAAACGACTAAAAAATAAACGTTTAAAAAATTATTAAAAAAAAAAAAAAGTGCTGGGCTTGCAGCTCAGTGGAAAGTGCTCCTGAGTTCAATCCCAGAACCAAAACAGACATTGAAGCAACAGATGAAACATCTGAATCCCCGATAAAGGGAAGAGGTATTAATGGAATGAATACATGTCTGATAAATGTCTCCAGGGTACATCTTACAAGTCAACATTCGGTAAATACGGGTCAATACGTGAGGGCCACAGGTACCCTGCATATTCTTACCATTCAGCAACTGTCAATGAATTTCTTCTTCACCTACTTGTTCTGATACCTTATTTAAAATCTACARATCCACAAGTGCATCACTTGCATTCACTAAACGCAAATCCACGACCTCTTGATAAAAGTTTTCKGTAAGATTCCGTGAGAGCATCAGAGTCTCTGCCTCCAGGGACCGAGAGGTCCGAGGACCGCGGCGGCTCCTCGCTCCGCTGCCGGCGGCTCAAGGAACCGCGAACTACAAGTCCCGGCAGGCCGCGCGCGCCGGCTTCGCCCAGCGCAATCGGGGCGGCCGAGGGCACCCTTTCCAGCCAACTCCGGACCGCAAGGCTGCGGGGGGGACGCCGGGCTCTGCCGGAGGTGAGTGGGGTCCCAGCGGCGGGCTGGTGCGGAGCCGGGGCGGACCAGGCCGGTGCCTGGAGTGCGGGGGAGCCGGGGGGCACGCGCCCGGCGCGGTTCCGGCTATGCAGGAGAACAGGGAAGGAACCCCAGCCGGCGACCTTGTCACCCGGCGCGCGGCCACGTGCCTCGGGTAACTCGCAGGGTCCCGCCCCCCTCCGCCGTGAGTCTCTCGCTTGGCGCTCCAGCGGGTATTAGTGGACTGTCCTTGAGTGGCACAGCCTGGCGTGCACCCGAGGAGGCGGAGCTGGAGGAGGGCCGCAGGTGGCTCAGCAGGAAGCCTTCACACCCAGGTGGCTCTGGGCCCCGCGTCGAAGGCAGCTGGGGCTGGAGCCTGGTCTGGTTTCTAGCAGGGACGACCCTGACTTGCCAGCCTTGCACCTGGGCTTGCCACGTTCCCCTGTCCACTAATTATCACTAGGACCTTGCAGGGGCCCTGTGCTTTCGGATCGCGGGATAAATGTGGGCCAACACCCAGCAGGGTGTGGAGAGCAGCTTGTAGAAAACCCCAACTACAGTTCTGTCCTAGGGTTAAGTGGTGTTTATTTTCCACTAACTAGGAAGTCATTCAACAAGTATTTAAGGATTCCCTTCGTGATGCGTGGTGCATAGCGGGTGCTCAAAAAATATTTGTGAGAACAAGCTGCTTGTTCTGGTCCACCCTTTGCTCTCTCAGAGCAGACACACCTGCATTCTGCTCTTGTGCTGTCACACGTTTTCTTTAAGCGTTTTTCTTGTTGCCCTAGATATCTAGCAGAGTCACCTGTAGGCCTTGTTACTGCACAAAGTTTTGGATTCTTTCCTCCCAGCTTTCTGATTCTGGTACTGTAGATCTGGTACTGGTACCAAGGATTTGCTTGTCTGTCATGTGCCTATGGGATGTGGATGCTGCTGGTCTRGGGACCATAGTGGTGTACCGTTATTTTATAGGCAAAAGTTCTCTCTTCACATCTGGTTATGGGTCTTCTTGTTCTTGTTTGCCAGTTTTACTTTTTCTAGTTGTAGTAAACATTTGCATATTATTTTGGACATAGTATTTTGTTAATCCTCCACCTTTCTTTATATACAGTTTTTTTTGGTTTGTTTGTTTGTTACTGGGGTTTGAACCAGGAATGCTTTACCACTGAGCTACAACTTCAGCCCTTTTTATTTTATTTTTTTGAGACATGGTCTTGCTAAGTTGCTGAGACCAGCCTGGAATTTGTGATCCTCCTGCCTCAGCCTCCCAGGTAGCTGGGAATACAGGCATGTGCCATCATGTCCCATGCCACCATACTGTGCTCCAACATGCTGTGTTATGTGCAGATTTTCATGCCTTCCTACACTTGTGTCATTTTTCCTGGATTATATAATATTCTGTCTTACTGTCATTATTTGCTTGATTATTACTCAACAGTCCTTGCAGATGTAAGATTTGATCTCTGCTGGGAGAGTGGCCTTTTACTCTTGTCTGATATATACTCATTTTCTTGACAGAGAAGGGACCTGTGAGAGAAGAATAGTGCTTGGTTTAGTTTTCTGTCCCCTTCTCTCCAACCAGAGCAGCTCACTGAATACTCTGGGTTTAGCTTCCTATGTCAGAGAGTCTCTGTGGTCCACCTCCAGKCCCAGCAAGCTGCTTGTTCTAGTCCACCCTTTGCTCTCTTAGAGCAGACACACCTGCATTCCGGTTCTGGCTCATCAGCCAAGTTTCCTTGTCTGTAGGCTGAGACTTTCACGGTCTGCACCTTGGAGTCTAGTTGTGGAAGTTGTGTGAGAGGTTGAAACGCCGAGCACTGTCCCTGTCTTGCTGGAAGCACCTGCACTTGGCTTTCCACTATTCACCCAAAGATCCCCTTCCCAGGATGATTTGAATAGAAAATTTCTATTCCTTGCCTAGGTGAGATTTATTTTTCTTAACTGCTCTGGGACCTTGGCAACAGTCAGAGATTACTTTTTTTTTTTAATAGTTATAATGGACAASATGCCTTTATTTTGTTTGTTTATTTTTATGTGGTGCTAAGGATTGAACCCAATGCCCCACAAGTGCAACGCAAGTGCTCTGCCACTGAGCCCCAGCCTCAGCCCAGGCATTCCTTTGTTTAACCAATACTGATKCAAGCAACTTCTGGGCATTAAACAAGAGGAAAGGTGGTATGGTTAAAATTTGGATTTCTCCGTTGGACTTCATAGTTCTCTAAAGGACATGGCAGACTGTAAACTCACTCAGGCCCATGACACCGTCCCTAGGCACTGACTCATTTGCTTTTTATTCATTTTACTGACCAAATTCGTCTGAGGACCTGTCCACTTTCTCCAAGAATATTTTTGTGTCTTTTCCAGTCTTGGGAACGGTTTAGGGAACAAAAACCTTATTTGTCTAATAGTCTTTCTAGGAAATGGGAGGAGGCTGTGGTCACTAAGAGGATTAATGAAATTAGATCCCAAAGTACCTTTCTTCTGTGGCCATTCCCACTTGTGTGCTAAGCAGGGAGAGATGATTCCAGACCTGTACTCCTGGGACATGGCATGGGGAGAGTCAGGAGATGAATGGTCTGTCATCCTAATGGGTTGGGAGGCTGAGGCAGGAGGATTATGAGTTTAAATCCAGTCTCAGCAACTTAGGGAGACCCTAAGCAACTTGGTGAGACCCTGTCTCTAAATAAAATACAAAAAAGGGGTGGGGTGTGGCTCAGTGGTTATGTGCTCCTGGGTTCTGCACCTGGGTTCCACCTCTGGTAAAGGAAGGAAGGAAGGAAGAAAGGAAGGAAGGGAGGGAGGGAGGAAGGAAGGAAGGAAAAGGCCTAGCTACTTATAGACCTCATGAATGGTAAGTGCTTGATTTTCTATTTAGTTCTATTTAGGATGGATATTTTGTTYGACCAAAACTTCCCACTGTGAACTTCCTGTTGCCTGATTTTATGACCCACAGGGTTTTTCCTTGGTCTAGGGAGATGGAGATCATTCTTACCATTGATTCCATGGTGAAGCAGCTAAGGCAACTTTGTGGACTGGAACACTCCTGGATCTTGACATGGGATTTCTAAGGCTCCAAACAGTGCCTTCCACATACCTGCCACCGTTAGGGCGTGGTGGAGGGTCCTGCCCAAAGTGACTGTCKCGTTTACTCGAGGACAGTAGAAAGAACCTTATTGCGCTTGGATTTCCACTATTCACCACGAGGCCCCCTTCCCAGGACGAACTGAGAATTTCTATTCCTTGCCTGGGTGAGATTTATTTTTCTTAACTGCTCTAGGACCTTGGCATCAGTCAGGGATTCCTTTGTTTAACCAATATTGATTCACACCTGAGGGTCCAGGTGACCTCTTAAAGAGGTCATGTGCCATAAAAAGGGAGAACTGAGCACCTGGAGTGGGAAGGCCCTGTCCAAGCTGTGAATATGAGCTGAGCCACCTCTCTGTTCCTTGGTTTCCTCATTTATACCTGGGGATGATGATCCTTGTTACTGGTTTGTGTATAATGTTTAATGAGTATAAAGGGCTCTGTGAAGGTTAGTTTTTGCTAATAATATTATCCAGTGATCAGGATTTAGGCCCTTGGTGGCCTCAACCCCCTGCAAGTTATGTACTATTATCCAGAGCTAAGTCAGGTGAAAGTCAAAAAGGCAAATAAACAGAATTGGGCAGGTGATTCATTAGCAAAGGGTTTAATAATGAAAGGTGTTTTTCATYGACAGACATATTTCACACCTGACAGGTCTTTTAAAATACCCTCAGGGAAGCAGCTCATTTGCATGTTAAACACTCACCGACTCCTTATGGAAAACTCCAGCTCCAATCTATTTAGACACAGTTTGGCTCCTATATCATCTATTTTATGTATTTCAATTTCCACTTCTTTTATTACTGAGGACAGTTTCTTGAAAAGTGGGTCGTGGAAGTGGATGCTTTGCTGCCACTTCTCATCCCGAGGTGTCTCAAGGGTARGGATGGCCTCCCGGAGGAGAGGGGTTCAGGTGAGTACGTCCTGGGCGATGGTGCTGAGGGTGATGGGCAGAAATGGTTATCATACTGGCAGCCCAGGGTGTGTATTTTCACAGGGAAATCTGTCGTTACTGGCTCTGCACAGGCCTCAAGGGGAATATTGACTCATTCATTCAATAAATGCTTTTGGAGCACTTACTATGTGCTGTGCCAGGGTGTGGCAAATTAATGTCTAAGGCCAGACATTGCCATAGTCCTTACTTTACATGTCCTCTGTGGTGTGCTACAATGCAGAGTTCAGTCACTGCACTGAGATAGAATAGCCTGCACAGTCGGAAGTAATTATTGTATGGCTCTKTATGGGATAAAATGGCCAGCTTCTGTTCTAGGCAGAGAACAGAGAGTATGAAAGCTCTGGGGCCACCACRTGCTGGGCGCATTTGAGGACTGGTAAGGAGGCAGTGCGGTTGGAGTAGAGCGAGTCAAGGGGAGTGGGAAGGGCTTCAGAGCCTAGAGGGAAGTGGGGAGGCAGATCCTGTAAGGCCTTGTAGTCTGTGCTCATCCGAGGCCTTGGCTCTTCATGAGGTGGGAGCCATTGGGGTGGTTAGAGCGTGGGAGTGCCTAGCTGGACTTAAGTTTCCACATTAATAGACTAGCAGACCAGGGAATGACCCACTCACTCGTTTCATTATTTATTAGCAGGCTTATTATTGTGCTTACCTCTAATATGCTTCTGAGGTCTGTCTTAGGAAGGTGGCCATAAACTCGAGCCCTTCCCTGATGGGTATCTGAGAGGTTTGGTGGTGGATGTTCACAGTCTCCCTTTGACAGGGTCTTTCTTTATTTTGGCAGATGGTCCAATACATGTGTCTGACCTGCTACCAGGTCATATGTGACCCGTGTCCAATTTATTCCTTCCAGGAGAGCCAATCTGTAGGAGAGTCCTGACTAGGCCAGAAGTTAGGTTCAGGTGTGTTAGGTAAGACACAGGGGAGGCAGCTCACTAAAACACAGGAAATAACAGAAGCCTTTTATTAC